CAACATTTCAAGGGGTACTCGAATACACCCGACACTCGCGTGTTTACGTCTGTGAGATAAGGCGAATTAAACCTGGTTAATGAAAGATACTAGTTTTATGATACCAATTCAAACACTTTCTTGTCTTGTGAAACCAAAATCTACCGATTAACAAATCTAGACGATTCGAGGAGTTAATAATTGTAAAAATACTATGATTATATTTAAAAAAGACTTTCATATTGCCATAGTTTATAATATATAAAATAATATATAATATAGAAGTATAATAATAAAATCGCAGAAATAAATTATATTTCTGCGATTTTATTATTTTCTTAATCCATGCACCAAATATGTGCAAAAAAACTAATGAAAATTAAACACTTTTTCGTTTTTGTTTCATAAACGTAAAGTTTATGTTTTTTTTTTTATACTTTTTATAAGCAAAACGTGTGGAATGCACACCTCAATTACAACTTTTACTTCTCAAGGTGCAATTACAATATATATAATTTCAAACATAAAATATTTTTATATAATATAACGATATAAAGTTATACTTTTTAGGAAGTTTCCATTACAATATTAAACAGAATTTCGATACATATAATCTGTAAAATTTTAAGAAAACATTTATATCATGTTCTGTGTACGTACATCAATGGGTTTTATCGAATATTTTTCCACGTCCGAAGACACAATACGTACGATTGACATTCACCATATATCCAATTAAATTCTTACAATAATATTGATAACGTCGGATACTGTACAATAAAACACACATATACAGTGTGTTTCCTCAAATGATGAAACAAAATATTTCTGTCTAGTGACTTCAAATTTAAATGGGGTTTTCTAGGAGATAGGAATTACTGAAATACTAACAAATGAACGTGTGTGAGTTAGCCCCCCCACTATAAAAAATACTTTCCAAAATAATTGTAACCTTATTTTCTTAATTTGTAACTATTTAGAACCTCATATTTTTCAAGCTACGGGTAGTTTCTCAATGAGGGGCTAACTTCACGCAGCTCCCCGATTCAACGAAATCATCCAAAACAGGTTGTAACTTATAAAATCCAATTTGTAACTATTTGTAACCAATTTTTTAGAATTTATAACCTCGGCCCTTTCAAGTAATCGTAAATTTTTCAATGAGAGGTAAGTTAATGCACGTACAAGAGCTGTTTCACGTGCTTTCTGTTATAGTTTGTTTAAGATTCAATACTGTGAAATGAGTTTGAAGATTCTTTAAGATGAAGAAAATGGTATAATAGTTCTAAATTCTAGACTAGATATTTATGTGCGTTTGGATATTGCCCATTTATTTAAAATGATTGGTAGATGGAAATGTTTTAAGATAAGATGTCACGGAAAAATTAAAGAATTTTACGTTAGAGCCATAATTATCCTTATAAAAATCAAAAACACTCAATTAATTTAAAACAATTTTAACTGAAATTTTAGTCATTGCATCTTCAAAATTTGATGGTAATATAGAAGGTACAAAATATTACACTTCATCAGAAAAAATTCAGGGAAAATATTATTGAAAAAAAATATTTATTGAAATAAAACAAATCGAAAATGTTGATTTCATAGAAAATATAAATTCAGATGACGAAGGAATTCTAGAAGAAAATGAAGAAAAATAATGTTACAAGTTTATAATGTTCTTAGTAATTCTTAGTAATATTTAAAATAACATGGATACATTTATTAAAAATATTAAAGAATGTGTAGCAGTTTTCTCCGATACACGTTTGAATAGGTACTTTTTACCTGATTTATGTGCTTCTTTTCTTCGTATTACAAAAGATTTTCTTCTCTAGACAAACATAATGGCTAGACACTAAAAATCAAAATATGAAAAGGCCAATTCAGTACCAGTCAAAGAATATTTTTTTCATGGCAAAAATGAATTGAGACAATCACATAGGACCATAGACCGTTTTGTTGGTCTACATTTATTACCAATAGAAGGAGAATTGAAATTGGCTAGATTATTACAAGTCAAAAAAAATCAAGAATATAAATCATAAAATTATATTAAATCAAACAACTATTCTGATATGATATATAGTAATTAAACAAATAGGGAAATTTCCCTATTTATAAATATGTAAACAGTAATGTAAGTAATAATGTTGAATCGGAATTATATAGTGATGATGATATTTCTATAAATTCAGATTAATCTGATATCAATATAATGATAACAGATGAACTAATGGCAAAAGAAAATTGCAGAAATAAAGCGGACCGACCTATCAAAATCAAAAAAAGAGAAAAAAAGTTCCAAACGATTTCCGAAATATACAAGTCCATGTTCAATTATTCGTTATGTACTAAATACTTCAGAATCACAATCAACTTCATTATCAATGATAATAAATGGAAATCTTAAATCTTTTACCAGCTCTTAAAGTAAATAAAAAAAAAATTCTGATATTTAACACGTGTGCTTTTGATTCATTTTTAGTAGCTATAACAGTAAGCTAAATCGATAACAAAAGGTATAAGTTGTATATTGTTAATAATAAAACGAATCATTTTATAAGACTGAAAATATATCCTCTTCGTGGAACTATAAGCATAATTTATGATTAACATGGTAATTTGCTGGTAGAAAGTGGACTTTTTAAAATGTGACCAGTAGAATCTGAACCTCAATATTGGACGAAAATATCAATGTTACTGTTGTATGTAACAAGTTTTTTTTTTTGATATACCTAGCAGTATACAAATATTGAAATGCACCATTTGTACTACAAAAACCGTATTTTATAATGCAACAATAATACTCAACGAATTGTTAAATAGTAGTGAACACTTATAAAATGTAAATACATATTTAAATAAAAATATTACGGAAAAAAAAAGAAAAATGGTCTCTAAACTGCGGAAAAATAAGTAGAATTTATATAAGAGTACTACAGGAACATATTTTATTGGAAACAGATGTTTTTAAGGATAATACGATAACTGAAAATAAAATCTTGTTCAATGATATACCATCAAAGTTGTTTATTGGAAAAGAAAGGTAAATAGTTAAATACTAAAAAGAACTATTCATATATATATTAGGAAGTAATTTATTATATACTACTGTATTCACTGCAATCAATAATTTCATACATTGGAGATGTAAATGTATAAAACATGGCCACGTAACACACTGCAAACGAATTAAGTTATTGGGAAATACATAATAACTTGGTAAAAAAAAAGAACAATATATAAGTGTACAGAATCCAAATATATGAAACCACATCTAATATTTTATATAAAAATGTCAGATTCGGTATGTTAGATTTGTAAGCGTTTTAAAATTGTATTAATTTTTTTTAGAAATTTATTTTTTTATTTATTTTTGCGAGGCTCTAACAGGTATATATTTATTTATAAAAATAATTTTAATTAATCATTTTAATAATTCAAAGAAATATTTACATTCATTTACTTTATAGATTATTTTATACTATTGAGTTATAATGAATGTAAAGTGGCTTCTTATAATAAGTTACGAGTGCTAACAATTTATTATATATATTCATAAATTGAGTATATTATAAAATATAATTTATTTAAGATTTTAGCCTGATCGAATAAAAATAAAAGTAAAATTCTAGTTAATTAAGACATATTTATACAATCTAGATTCTTTTTTTTTTTTAAATATACATTTATTTTCTTCAACTTATGATATGTTCTAGGCGAATTGATTTAATCGGGTAAATAATAATCTTAACTTTTTTATAAAGATATCTTCTCATGGAAATCCATCGGCACTCATAATTGACGAGGTTAAAAATTCTGAAAAGTTGGTTACAAATAGTCACAAATTGAGTTTTATAAATTACAATTTGTTTTGGACGACTTCGTTGAATTGGGGGGGGGGGGCAGTTCCTCTCATCGAGAAATTTACAATTATTCAAAAGAGCCGAGGTTACAAATTCTAAAATAATGGTTACAAATAGTTACAAATTGAGTTTTATAAGTTACAACTTCTTTTGGACGATTTCATTGAATGGGGGGGGCAGCCCCCATAGGGAAATCGACAACTACTCAAAATTGAAGAAGTTAAAAATTTCAAAAAGTTGGTTACAAATAGTTACAAATTGGATTTTATAAGTTACAACTTGTTTTGGACGATTTCGTTGAATCGGGGAGCTGCATGAAGTTAGCCCCTTATTGAGAAACTGCCAGTAGCTTGAAAAATATAATGTTACAAATTCTAAAAACTTGGTTACAAATAGTTACAAATTAAGAAAATTTTTTTTATATTGAGTGGGCTAACTTCACACACGTGACAAATGAGCCAATTACAGTAGCTACTCAAAATTAAGTCTTACAACATTTACAACATAATTGACAAAGCTTCGAACAATGCATAAGATGATGATGAGTATTTTGTGTCATAAATTGTTTAAAATTAAAATAATAATATAACTTAAAAAAAAAATTTGGTCCATCTAAATGTGGTGTTAAAAAAAATCTAATGCTATTTAAAAATTAATAATTTTGTTACGCATTCAAACACTGAAAGGGTTAGAAATTTGAAAATCATAAAAAAGAGGTATTTCATTATTCCCTATATCCCCTGAAAACCCCATCTTAATCTGAGATTGCTATACAGAAATATTTCGTGTTACCATTTGTGTGAAACATAATGTATGTGTATATATCATTATATATATTATATTATATATATATCATTATATTATACGTATATATCATATACGTATAATACAGTTATACTATTATTATTATTATTATTATTAAATAATTAGGTAACTATACATCAATAAACACGTATACAAATGTTTACAATACATACTAAGACAATGCTGCCCTTTGAAATACAAAATTCCAGAAATCGTGGTATTATATTGCTATTGATGTTTAAATTAAACTATATACATAAATGAGCGAGTATATGCACAGTTAAATGTAACTGAAACCGATTCTTATAAAAACCGTTTTTTTTAGAAAATACACTAATGTATAGTTACCGTCTTTTATCCTCTGGAGTGAGCCCAGCGTCATGTTGCTGTTGAACCCATGCACGATGAACTTGTTGGGTAGAGATTTCACATAATACGATTTTGTTATATTTTCCAATGCGACGCGTTGAGGATGATGTTCGTTCTCTCTGCGTTTGGACAGAAATATCATTATGTTTAGTCAGAAACAACTTCAGACAACATTAATACGAATACTGCGATGACACCCTGCACGATTCGCAGTGGTGAACAGATAACAATAATGTGATGGGTGGCATAAAAAAGAAAAAAAGTCTCAGAGATAAACATGTTCATATTGTTCGCTAACTGGTCCTGTGCATCGATCATCTCTGAAATACAAACCCTGATTGCACGCATGTACCTGTATATTTATTATTGTGAATCGTACAGCGTCGAGTTATGCACTTCATATGTGGTCACATCACTACATTTGTGTACCGGCAAAAAACGATGAGGAAGTTTTTTCCCTAATAACTAATATGCCCTTGCTGAACTATAATGATTTCGCCATCTTCCCAAATGATACGATCGGGTACCAAAAGAAAACATGGTAATCAAATATCTGTGGTTATTTTTTGCTATTTAATGCTCGCGAGCGTATATTATTACGTTCGATGTGAATCGTGAACTTATTTCTGATTTTTCTTTAAACATCACATGTTTTCAGTAATGAATAATTTGATATCGATTGGCTTAGCGTCTCGGTAGACATTCTAAATGGTAACTTATGATTCAAAAACATTAAACGCCTAAAATGCATCAATTTGTGCGTTTTCATTACTACACTAATGATAATTTTTATCTATATTTTTTAATAATTTCTAATGTATTTTAATGTTACTCTTTCCTTTGCCCGAAGTTTAAAGTGGTAACAATACCAAGGGGAAATCTAATACATGTATTATTCTCAGCGTTTCATATAGACCAATAAAATTACTAGATAATTGATTATAAATAAAATTAAAAGTAGGTATACAATATATATATATATATATAATGAGGTTTTGTTTGTGATTAATTCTCCCCATAAGCTATTCATGTTTTATAATAATATATAAACTTGTAAATTTATAATTTATTGTTTGAAATAACAGATTGTAAATAACTTTTAAAAATATGAAAAAATTTAAAAAACATATGTAAATATACATATTACTATATAATTACTATATAATTTATAATTTATATTTAATATTAGTTAATTTTGTTTGTAGAATACTATTTAACACCTAGTGACATAAACTAAATTTCAAAGCCGATTTTTCAACTATTTTATTGTGTATGATTTATTTTAACAAACAGTTAAATGTTTCGGTAAAATTTTCGGAAAAATGTAAAAGGGACGATTTTTAAGTGTTGTAAGAGGTAGGGTCAGAGCCGTAATTAGACATTTTGCACCCTGACGCAAAAAAAAAAATTTGGCGCTTTTCAAAGGGGCTTACCTACGGATAATATAGGATATAGATCTTCATAAATCTTTTAGATATTCTAAAATCAATGATATTTTTATGTAGTAAGCATGCCACCGCACGCCGCACGCGATAACCTAATACGCCGTATTATTCTAAATAACTTACGTTTATTGACATTATCACAACACATTTGGGAACTAATATTAGGTATATTAATAATATTCTGGATCGCTGATAGCTATAAATACATTAATAATATATATTAATAAATTAAATACATTAACATTAATTTATGATACAGTTATTAAAAACAAAAAATAATAATAATTTCAAATAATTTTAAAAGTTCAATAATTCACAAGTGAGCAAATTTCCGACCACAAAATTTTGGCGCCCCCAAAAAACTGACACCCGGGGCAGTTATAGACAGTACCCCCCCCCCCTAAATGCAGCCCTGGGTAGAGTGACTGAGTTCCCTTGCGTCCCCTCACTTTAAGTCCTGCTTTTACTTCAATTACTCTCTTTCTCTCTCTATTGCGATCACTTGAAACTAGTACATATGTCCTCCATACAACACTCATATATGGTCATTATTTCGATGTATACGTTTATCCCATTGAAATCCATTCCCGAAATGTCTGGTTGTAACCAAAATTATCATACGATTATATTATTCCGTTTGCACTGCACATCAGCATCAAAAACGTATACGTCGTATCTACATACGTGCACCCGGGCCCTGTCTCTAAACGCTCATGTAAACTTTATACTCGAAATGTGATTCAACGCGCGTGTATAACATTATTATTTAAAATAATTTATTTCAGTGTCCGGCACCGTGCGTCACAGACTTAACGAACGTTTGTTTTTCCTTTTATCATTCCTGTAGTAATTACAAGCACCAATAGTACGAGCATCACATAGAGTTACTTCTCAATTTATTGGTTCAAACTACACTTTATTTTCAAGTATTTATGGTACGTAGTAATGACAATACAAATTAGTTTATTAGGGTTTATACTATTAGTTATAATATTTTAATTTAATTTAATATATTTAACCGTCATAACAACATACGATTAAAAATAATAAAATTAAATACAATTTGGTCTAGTAAATCAATAAGCCTGCTGCATATGACCTAGGGTCATGAATAAACATCAGTTGTGCAAAAATAATCATGCTGATAGTCATAGACCGAAGTAATAATATTATAAAGAAATATGTAAACATTATAATGACAAAAGGAAGAGTTGTGAACAGAAATTTCCTTCATATACTGCCTTTTTGACCATAAAATCATAGAAAAATAGACAGCTTTATGGCCGACGACTAATAAATTAAAAATATTCTACAGTAAACAGTGAAAAAATTATTTTATACCATTGTAATAAACTTAACCAACTTCTTCCAACGTTTGATTATACATAATATAATATCAAGGGTTGATATAAATAAGTTACCTATCTCTTACCTGGTGTACAAATAAAAATTGATCAAAGGGTCTGGACAAATTGGGTGGACGATAAACGTACATCGACTGATCGTTTGATGATTTTTAAACACACACCGCACGTTCGAAAAGTGCAACCACAATACAAGTGCTGTTATCGTAACTGAATGTATTTCTGGAAAATAAAAATAAACATCAGATAACAAACGGCTACATAATTAACATGTAAATAAAATTAGTAAGAAAATAACAAATCATATATCCAGTAATCAGAAAAGAAAATCATTAGTAGTTTTTAGGAAATCACAATAAAAACAACATTGTATAACGTTAAAATAAAAAAATAAAAATATTCATCAGAAATTATAATAGGTGTAATGTTAAAAAAATTGATATAATAATATAAAGTTGTATCGGTTAGTTAAATTAGTTATTACAATTGCGGTACATTTCTAACATAAAACTTTAAATCTAACATGACGATTTCAATAAAGTAAAATTATTTTGTTATAATAACGAAAAAAAAATAAAATATACAGGTCATGAGAGTATTCATTAGTTCAAAGTTTAAACTAAGAGAAAACAAAAAAAAAAAGTGTCAAAAATTAATATAATAATATAATGATATAATATAATATTATATTGTATTATATTGTGATACGTAATGAAATTAATGATTACTATTATACGATTTAGAATTAAAGTTCTTATACGTTATTCTACATTATTATGGATTTAGCAAAATGGTGGATACATTCAGATTTCAAAATTCCGAATTATTTGGATTATCCAACTAATTTTTATATTTTTATAAATTTAATTTTATATCATAATTGAATAAGCATTATTGCATACAATTTGCGTTGGTGATAATTTCTTCATAACTGTTATAATATAAATTAAAAAATTAATTCTAATGTTTATAGTTTTCACTGATCAATGTTTGCGATATTTTTAATGAGTATAAGTTGATTAAGCTTTTGTGTTTTCCAGCATTTAAACTCAAACGAATAAACTCAAAAATAATAATTTAACTCAATGCTTAACAATATAACAAGGTAAATTACTATTACCTATTATATATTATATATGTATTATTTACCAATGTCCCGTTATAGAATAGATAGGTGTTAATATTTTATATTCCATCTGTATGGTTAAAATTTCACATATGAAAAACAATTAGCAATCTAAACTTTAACTCAAACGCTTTTCAATTCTGGAAAACATATTCAATTGTTACTTAGTTGAAACGCAGTTGTTAAGACGAAAAATTCGTATACGTACTGTAAACCATTTCGTTGACGAGACGTGGCGAGTAATGATTACCAATATTGATATTTATTAATATTATTATTATTGTTATTATAAAAGTAAATAGAAATCAGTGTTCGTACACTGAACTCGGACCGGATTGTGACAATATCCGAGAAACAAATACACACAACCTTTAAAAACCCGAAATTTTAATAGTTATATTATAATGCCAACGCGACGTGCACTTAAACCGAAAATAGAAACTTCGTTCGTATAAGCTGTAACCAGCATGAAGTATCACGGCTGACTATTAGAACAACATAAATCACATCAATTGCAAGTCTGGACGTCGAACCGCGAATGTGTTCCAATATAGATGTATAATTAATTTTAGTGGGGCCCACTGCAGTGTTGCATGGGATGTCGATAGTCGGTCAGCGCGGAGTGTATGTGTGTGTGTGTGTGTGTGAGAGAGAGTATCATTGTGATTCGCGACAACACATTTAAATATAGAATTGATTGTTTTTTTCGCGTCGATTTTTTTTTAACATTTTTTTACATTTTCAAATTCATTACAGCGATATATTTCGGGAGGATTGAAATATCGTAAACAGTTTTGAATCGTTTTGAAAACTATTGCAATGTATATTACTACATTATTATTTACGCGTATGATTTACACGATATCAGTTTTTTACGTTTTTAATCACTTAATCGGGTTTTAATTCATAAACAAATTTTGACATTTTTTAATTTCGCTGTCCGTATCAAACTGTACTGCGAATCCTACGCGTGACATAATTTGTTAAACATAAAAATTACTTAGCATTTAAAATCAGAAGTGCATAAATTATGAAAATCATTTGACGTTAATAAACGTTTTGAAGTTTTTATCATATATATTGTAATTTTTTTTAACGTGGTTCGAAATAAATATTGTAATTCGAGAGTATAATTGTTACTGTACAGCATAATGAAATATTTGTTTACGTGAGAATAATATTTGTGATGTTATGTACGCATGAAATTTCACATTAGCCAACACAATAAACAATAGGAAAAAAATGCAAACTGTAAATAGTCAAAAATAATAATATTATTTAGTGACATTTACTCAGCGACGATTAACGTAGTTATTATTAATCTGAAAAATTAATAATGTTTAAAATTAAAAATATACCTACATATAGTATAATTTTAATAATTGAATCAATAAAAAATAAAAATTGACAGCGTTATGTTAATTACGTGCAGGAACAAAAAAAATATCGTTAAATTAAAATCAAACAGAACGTACTAATGATAGTTCACGAGTGTTCGTCATCATTGCATTTCAATGTCCATCATTGAATTTCAATGAATTAACATTGCACGTGCCCTTTCTCAACTACTTTTTGCATATATTTTCATATCTATAAGATAATATTGATTGGTTTTTTATGTCAACATTTTTACGAATACGTAATGTATAGTGCGTACACATTTACATTATATAAAACGATATTTTTGTGAATACACGTCCCGATTATTCCTCCGAGAGATGATAATTACTAACCTACTAACCACTGTTAATAATGATATTGTTCTATACAATTTACACTTTACGCAGAACTTAGTTTACTGTCATTCATTTTGAATGAGTAAACACTAAGCTTAACTTTTAATAATTGTTTTTTAATCAAACCACTAAAAACCTAAAAACAGTAGCAATGCGGTACTCGAAAACGTATTCTTATTTGTGTTAGTTTTTTAATATTGTTGTCAGTAGGTCACAGTTATATTACGTTATAACCGCCGGCAAATTTAATTCAAAACCGATTCAGTAGTTTGTCGTACGTATATACCAGTAAATGTAAATAACATACCTACACACAAATATATTTTAATAAATCTAAGTGCATTATTATTATATTCATTGGAAAATGGAAATATTTTCAGCAGAGAAGTTAAGATTAATCGGGTGACCGATTATATTTTTATTTAAAATAATTTATTTTTAAAAAAGCCAAAAATATATGGTGCGTTAAGAAAGGGCCACTTTTCGGAATAACGAAGATGGGTAATATAGGGTGTTTCATTAAGAACGCCGGATTTAATCTTGTTATAAATTTATTATGATAGAAAAAATTATTTTAAACAAAAAAAATATATCAACATTTAATATATATTCTACGATTTAAGTGTGAAATATCACAACTGGCATATGTCCACCTCGGCTTCGCTGGCAAGCTTCTGTTCGTAACACGAAATTTGATATAACTTGCTGACACATCTCCGAGCTTAGTTCACCAATGGCAGGACGAATTTCTTCCTTAAGTTCTTCAATTTCAAAAATTTGTAAGCAAGCAAAACTGAAAACTTTGGGGGACAGAAAACCCACAACAAATTGATCAACGTTAAATACATCCTGAACGAGTAACTGTATGGTGTGGCTTTTGGAGTGGAGGTGTTATTGGCCCATATTTTTTTCAAGATGAATATGAAAACACAGTGACGGTAACCGGAGTATGTTACCGAGATATGATAACAGAGTTCTTGTGGCGTTCTTAAATCTGGCGTTTTTAATGAAACACCCTATAGTTGTGGGTATTTTAACACTTGAACATAATATTTGCGAAGAGTTGTATTCAATCAAAAATCGAATTTAATCCTAATTATTTTTAAAGTAGTAAATAATTGCTTCATTAATCTCAAAAAAATATTGTATACAAATATTCAAAATGTAATAAAGTCTTGAAAAATAAAATAATTGAAATAAATTGAATAATTAAACTGAAATAAGTTATTTATTTTAGCGTATAGTATAGTAGACGTTGATAGAATAATTTTAGCGTTTGACTAAATCAAATCTTACAAAAATGTAAAATAATTATTGTAATCTGCATTTATTTAGGCTAGAAACCGATTTAAATTCGTTCAAAAATTGATACAATCACATAATATTACTGTGACTTCAGAGTAATAACAGTTATATTGAATAACAATAATATTTATAATAATAATATAATCTAAGAATTATATAACAAACATGAATTCACCATAGCGTGAAAGTCTTAATCGTTCTCGACGTTTTCGCATGTAACTGCGTGTATCGATAACTCACCTGAATCATTGCACATAACTCGAATATATTTTCAACCTTGTGTGGTTTTTAACGAGGTTTATAGTAAAATATTGTAGAGTAAAAACCGTTCAGCAGAATATTATTCTCGGTGAAACATAATAAATGAATTATTATGACAACACGTACAACTAGTATAATAAAGTATAATAAGAATAATAAGTATAATTAATATACTCATTGGACTCAATAACTCAATGTGTTCAATGAAGTAATAATAAGTAATAATCAGTTTTAACGTGATTCACAGTAGTTATTGAATTATCACGCAACCCTACAAGTTTTATACTTTTTTCTGATATTTTCGACATCTAATATTACACCGAAAAAATGATTAAAACTACATCATTTATTGATATAACAGAAATAATAATAATTAATATATGAAAAATAATTGTTTAGTAATTGGACTGCTTATGAGCTTTGGATGCGAGCGCGATTAATCAGATCCATGGTAAAAACGTACACATTTTACTCACAACGTGCGAGATGAGTTGCCTACACAACATACCTTAAAAACACACCAACCATTTTGAAACTCCGGAGTACACTTAAAACATAATGAAAATATGTCCATTAAGTATCGTAATAAAACTGCATTATGTAATGTGCTTACGGCACATTAACCAGTGTCAAATCTAAAGATAATAAAAAAATAAAAAAAATACCAAGTCTTCGAATTCTATACTGCGTGAGAGGGACCTTATTTATACCCATTGTTTCCACCCGCGGAGGAATTTGTTACCACGGTTACCAATACTCTAAACGCCATTGTGGATTTTGTAACAAAATTGTTTGCCGTATTTCGACCGTCCTAGAGGTATCGCATTGTCTTTATAACATTATTATGATGTACGTCATGACGCATTGACATTAAATCAATCGAACCGGTGTGTGCTGTTATTATTTCGCACATGCTCTGTACACATTTTAGTACGCGATACAACCTGTAATTTAGTATTTTTCATTATGTCCAAAGACGCCGCTACAACAATGTACGTGACAATTCTCGAACGCCTTGAAACCGATCTGGCATTTACATGTGATAACATCAAATTAATAAAAGGTAATAATTATATCATGATGTTATTGTCAGCTTCGATTTTTTTACGAACAGAGTATACGATTTATATACGCTTTTCAGACCTGTATTGTCGCGTTGTTTGGATCACCGAGGGATTTTATTTGCGTACGACAATATACAACATCATACGGTTCGCAATATAATACAACCGGATGGCGAATTTTCTCACGCAACGATACTAATAATGTAATTGTAGATTTTTGCCCGGACAAACGGCCGGTTATTACGTCGATCGCGTGAGCCATAATTTATCGCGTATCGAGGGATAACTACACTGTATACGCGACTGAGCCATAATGCCGTAACGCTGCGAAATATATAATATTGTTATCACCATCATCATCAACTATCATCATTGTTATTATCATTATAATTAGTTTTATTATTATCGTTGTCGCGTTGCGTTTCAAGCGCGCAACAAAAAACCTATCCGTTGCATCGGTGTTGACCACGTGTGCTCGTGGTATTTACGCCCGTTCACGTTAAATTATGCAAACACCGTCACCGTTGTAATCGCTATTCAAATCGTAGCGATAGAAGATCGTATCTCGTGTTCTAATTCTTCGTAAAACGCAATATTTTTTAAAACTGATCTAGCCGGTTTTTGTTATAGATCTGCAAACACGTTCCCAAACAACTCGGATCTGACGTTCGCACTTATGTTCACGTCATGGCGTAGCTGTACGCTTGATAAAAACCGGCAAACGACCCTCCCGATTCGACTGATATTTCGATAAAAAAATAATAAAAAAATTGTGTAAAGTTGCGACTTTATAAGTTAAGACTATATGGTATAAAAATATTGATATGTTTGTGGGCTCACAAATGTTCGTCTGTTCGTTGTGTTTGCAGACATGACGCGCAATCCATTCAAACTGTAGGGAAGAATTATATGTGAACACTGCGAACCCTATTACCAATACAATGGCCAGTCATTAAGAGTTAGTTAATGAGTGTGGTTTCTTTTTTCAAAATTTGTGCATTTTATTTTAATAATAAGCCTATTAAATTAAAAGTCGTAGTATTCAAATTGTTAGGTAGGTAATATACATATAACACGTCGTAAAAATTATTTATTTCGATAGTTGTGATCCGTGATAACATTTATACGGCTAGCAATCTAGACGATCATATTTTGTTCTCTGTTCTGTCCTCCATCATACTCTTTTGGTCGCTGTACTATCACCTACCTGGTTATCTTTGTAAAATAAAATAAAGAACTTTAAAGTTAACAGTAAAAATTACAGTCTATTTAATTATCGAACAATAGTTAAAAATTGTTTTTGAATATTTTTCAAAATTAATTGTCCTCGTCTTCTTCAATAATTGCTTGCATTATTTTTACTAGTGTATGGAAGGGCGAGTATAGTTTTCATGATTTTTCGAAATTCTTAAGTTTAGAAAAAATGTATTGGTTTTCCAACAGTCTTCTAAATACTACGAAAAAATTTTATAAAATGTTAATTAGAACATTGAAACTGCTATCTTGGTGATTGCTACATGTATTATAAAATATATATGTATTATGTAACATTTTTAGAAAAATATCAATGTAGGTATCTCAGTGTATTATGTGTACATATGAATATAATTCTTCTGTGGGTGGAAATTATAATATACCCTCGGTAGTTCAAATGTATAATAATAATAATAATAATTTAATGTAATACATAAATATAATATAATGTGAAAATAATGATGTGTTTGATCTATAATATTACATAGGTACATACATTTGTACATAAATAATTAAAATTTTGTTTTTTTAAACCTTCTCTATTACGAAAACTCTCTATGATGAAAGAAATATCTTGGTCCCTTCATATTTGTTATAAAAAGTTTTCACTGTATATGTTGGTTTGCTTAATTTAAGTATCGAATAAATCATTTAATAATATACAATAATATTATACTTATGTACATGACTGCTATTGGAAAATATTATTTTCATTTTTACAATTGTCTTCTTCTTCATCCAGTCTTTAATACTCTTTAAGAGTTTTCACCGCTACCACTAAATTCCTCCATTTTTCTCTGTCCTGGGCTAATTCTCTCTAATCTTGAACCCCTATTATCTTCAAGTCTTCTTCCACAACATTTAACCATCTTTTTCTTGGTCGTCCTCGGGGTCTTTTTCCTGTAGGTTTCCACTCCAGTACTACTTTGTTAATTCTTACTGCGCCGCTACATGAGTTTAAGGAGTTGGATTCTTTGTCCTCTAATGAAACTCTTACTAATGATGCTATTTCTATTTCTTCCTGAAGCTCTTTGTTGTACTTTCTCCTCCATGTTTCTTTACCATTATCATATAATGATCTACACAAACATATTGCTATCCTATTTTATTCTCAAAAGTTCTGAGTTTTCTTTCGCAGTGTTTGTGATTTTCCATGCCTCACACCCACCTTAAGTGTGGGCCTGATTGTGGGTCACACGCTTCCAAAGTCCTACTGAATGTCATTCATACAAAACTAAGGTACTACGTAGATAGTTAAATACTGCCGGATCAAGCTGCATTTGTTAAAGATAAAGGAACACGTGAAAAAAATCTTGAATATACGCCAGCTCATAAAGAAGAGTAGAGAATTCAATCAACCATTGGTATTCAGCTTACTACAACAAAGCTTTTGACTGTGTACAATGGAGGAAACTATCGACAGTCATGTAAGAAATTAGGAGTCTCTGAACATATCATCCACTTAATCAAGAATCTATACGCTGGATCAAAAGCAGTAATGAGAGCACAAGATGCAGTATCAGATCAATTCTAACCTACCAAGGGTGTTCGACAAAGGTGCATTCTATCACTTATACTCTTTAATATCTACAGTGAATGAGTACTAAGAGAGGCACTCCAGGAATGTAATCATGGAATGGTGATTGGAGATTAGTCAATTAATAGAGTGTGTTGAAGAAGTAAACAACAAGTATGGACTGACAATCAATAGGCAAATAATAAGACAAAGGCTATGGTTATAGATCGAGCAGGAGTATTATTAAACACCAATATACTGAACGGCCACCAAAAAGTGAATGAATTTACATATTTAGGTTCAATTTTGCAAACATATTACGGATCATCCAGAGAGATTAGACGTCACGTAACACTTTGGAGGGAAGCAGTCAGCAGGCAAATACCTTTTTGGACCTTTTTAACGTTTTTGCTAACAGTAAGTTACGACTGCTTAAGACACTTACCTTCTCAGTGATGCTCTATGGATCCAAAACATGTACACTCAAAGTAGAAGATGTAAAGCACATAAACGCTTTTGAGATGTAAGCCCACAGACGGACGTTAAAAATTTCTTGAATAAAAAGGAGAACCAATTTCTCAATTCTGACCATGCTAAATGGGTTCCGCGTCATTTGATTCGGTAAATAATATCCGGTGATAAATGATCCACGACATTTGGTCCGAAGAAAACATATTCTGTATCAAAAATCCGGGGAAAAAATATCCAATAATTTTTCATTATTAACAAATTTGTTTTTTTTATAGTTACTTAAATAATTATTATAAATATTTTTTACTACAAAAAGTGATATTATGTACGTTTAAATTTGTTTCAAATAAAATTAGTATGATATTGTTAAGTCTTAGATTATAAGAATAGTATAGACAGACAAAATATAATATTATAATATAATATAATAATATGTATAATAATATAATTTCGAAGAAACTTGGATTGGGCGTACAGTTCGTAGAAGAAGAAAAAATCCAATGTTTCCCTTTAAAGTACGAAACTATTACAATTATGTAGTTATGGATTTCCCTCGGACTACTAATAACGCTGTTGAGAGTTGGTGCTTTTAGTACAAGTTTAGGATCTCACCATACACGATATGAAAATGTATCAACTTTTCGAAAAAAGAACAAAGGCTGCAAGAGGCAAAAATCGAAAAAATTAATTTAGGTGAAATTAATCCAGCAAAAAAACTTAAGTATAAGAACCTTGACAAACGTTTAAGAAATGTTGTTCAAAATTATAATTATACCAATTTGCTTAATTATTTAAAAGGCATCGCTCATAATTTTAATTTTAAATTTTATAGTTCAAAGACTTATAGAGATATTTATATTTTGAACTTAAGATTATGTATAATATTTTACTTCAAAATAACATGTTTTAATTTAAAAAATGATTATAAGACTATAATATTTGTTGAGTTGTTCTTATTTTGCAAAACAATAAACAAAAATTATCTTATATTTTTGATACAGGATATGTTTTCACCGGATCATTTGTTACCAGATATCAATTACCAGAATGACGGGTCACCTGCTAAATGTGGAAACGAGGCTGGTAGTGGTCTGTAAGTAGAGGATCCTAAGGCTCTTTGTCCACATCACAAGAAGAGATGGGTGGAGCCTGGAGAAGCTGATGATTGAAGGAAAAATAGAAGGGAAAAGAAGCTGTGGAAGAACACCGATGCATTGGATATACCGGATCAAAACTATCACTGGCTATCATCTGAGAGAGGCAGAAAACCATGACCTTTAAAAAGGAATTTTTGTCAACGTTAACTGATTGGTCATCAAACTTCCGCCTTTGGAAGATGGACTAAAAAGAAGAAGAAAATTAATATTATATTACTAATCTATTATAAATACATTACTATATTATTGTATAACCACTTATAATACCAAGTATAAATATTATACTGAAAAAAACGCAATTTATAAATTTAATTTTAAGAATCCAAGCAATATTCAAACAAGTTTTTAATTATTATTCAGAAAACTTGCTTCGACGAAATTTATTAAAATATGGAATTTTCGCTATTTTAAGAAAAAAATTTTCACTGTCACTCGAACAATAATGGAATCGATTCAATGCAATTATACTAAAACTGTACATTTTTGTACCAGGTCGACGTTTTAGAACATCCAAAACAAATTGCATACGAAGATTTAAATTTTTACAACTGCTACAAAATGTATAAAACAAATATAGAAATAAATTTTTTATAGAAAAAAATATACATATATATCACGTATCATATGTATGAAATATGTATATTATATATTGAATTGTATATGTAACTTACGAAATTAAGTCGAAATCGATTGTTCCTCCCAAAATATTGGCAAATTTCATTAAAATATTATATAAATATGAGTTGAAAAATTTCCATTCATTGAAAAAAGTCCTCATTATACATGAAAATAATTCCTGTACAGTTAATAATATTTTCGATTATTTTAAAATTGTTTTGTAATGTATGCATTTTAAGATATGAATACGGCATCGATAGAGTAACTTAACAGAAGTTATAGGTTATTGATTTTATTAAAATGAATTTAACATCGTAATTCTATAAAACAATTTTTAAAATTAAAACCTTTAAGTAATAAAAATCGACATCTGAAAATTAATATTTTATGTGATTTGAAACTATACAATTCAGTATAAAAAAGATACATGTGATGGTACTTAAAAACAGCCAAAAGCAAAAAAATTGTGTAGAAGAGTATAAAAAAATGTCATGGTAAATTTTGATATAACTATGAACATAAATTAAACTAATATAAATACCTTATCCTTTTGACCAATATAATACTTTAAATTTTTCAACACGTCCAAAAATCCATGGCTTCATAAACATTTTTGGGTGGACAAACTAACGATACACGTAATGATAATTTTATTTCTGTACATTTTCTATTAGTGCCATTGTGGAATACACTGTCGACGCTCTCGTTCTGTCGTAGAATTATACAACTCAAAATCTATTTACAAATACAAATATTTAATGTACGAAAAATAGATCAATTAAATTGATTAAGATAACTAATGCGCAAATCATAAATAACATACTGAATTTTAAAACTCATGATCCTTAGCGAAACAAATAGTCAAACCGTTTCCATAGCGATAATTCTACTCAAAATTAATTGTGGCCTATAATTTATTGAGCTTATGAATCTTCCTCCATCGTATTGCATATAAAAATACGATATTTTTTCCTGTTGCAACTCCTACAAGATAAATAAAAGATGAATAACTTATAATAAGTACGAGTAACTTAGATTATTGAATATATTCCGCGAAGAATAATACGAGTATCATCCGAACACGTTCAACATTGTCCGATGAACATTCGCGCACATCATCAACGCTCTATTACGACTACTTTATAATTATCAACGAACTTTTTTTTTTATCATTCATTGAGTAATATCAATACAAATTATTACTAATAAATGTTAATGAAGATATTTTGGTTGCAAGTGCTGCTTTTACAGTAATCAATAAAAAAAAAAAAAAAAAAATTAAGTTAATTTCAAAAAACAATATCTTCCATTTTCATACAATGAAGAAATAAATTATATAAAAAATTAAATAAACACACGCGTGCAAAGTTTACATAAATATTCATCAGAATAATACAGAACGAATTACAGTCCAAAAACTCAACGTTGGAAATTTCGAAAAACCGTTTAAATCGATAAAATTACTCCTTTGATGTACTGAAAAATTACACAAACACAAACATTGCGAACATTGTATGCGGTATGTTTGACGTTTTCAGAAAATTTCGACCACGTTTGGTCTGCTTGTCGTGTTCGTGATTGTCGAGTTTGTAATTTTCGCGTACAGCCCAACCTCAAAACAAATGTAACATTTTTAGGATGCAGTTAGCTCGCGATCGTGTTTGGTTCGGAGATCCTTCACCGTTGCCCGAACAATTTGAACGCGTCGCACGGCGGACCTGGCCTTTGCTATTTTTTTACAGGACATTGGGCAAAACTAAAAACTGAGTGGGACCAAATCCTTTCGAACGTCTGCTCGTGTACGTTGGTCTATTGTCGTCCCGGATAACATGTCCAGTGGCGTACGCAGGACTTTTTCGAGGGGGAGGGGGAGGTGACATAATATACATGAATTTCTGACCATTTTTTTTTTTTTGCTCATCACTACTAAATCTCCTCTTCTCGCAATGTTATAATAATATAATCTTTATAAATAAAAATTATAAAATAAGAAAATACATTTTAGGTGAATATATTTAAATAAAAATAAATCAGTTTTAATTCTTTTTAATGAGGAAGAACTTCTTTCTGCTCTACACGATGTAACAGATAATGTTGCAAAAATATGAAGCAGCTTGATACATTTGGAAAGAGATCTTTATTGTACTTATCAAGAGCATCTAGATTCTAAAAAAAACCATGTACACATAATTTTTACAAATGTATACGCCAAAATTTTACTTTTACTTCAAAAACATCTTGATCAATATCGTCTGAATAATATTCACTTAAATCTTTGATTACTTAGTTATCATAAGTTTCATTAGAAATTAGAAAACAAACGCCAGATATATTATTTCTATGGTTCAAAAATTGTTCTTTTCACTGTTGAACTAAGTTGCCAACCAATGGAAGGAATATAATAATTTAAAAAATAAATGTTTAGGGTCACGTGTAAAACAATTTGATCAATATTTTTATCGTTTAACCTTTTATGTTAATGTTTATTAATAAAGATGATATTTTATCAGGAAAATGTCCTTTTTTTTTAAGTCATCGTTTCTTTATATAAAAAGATACTTTAAATTATTTATAAGAGAGGAAGGATATTATATTTCCCTGATATTCCCCCTGCGTACGCCACTGTGTTCACATCATGTACAAGCGACGATTGTTCTCGGAACCACGAGCGTTTGCGATACATTTTCCGTCCGTCGAACAGAACGACGTTATCGACACATTGGTCTACGTACATATAAAGAGATCGAACGACCATCGACCGGTGTATGGAGTTATGTTCGTTTCTGCTTGGAAAAAATATATTTATACTAATAAAAACATATTTCACGATTAATTTAACATTAAAATATTTTCATGCATTGTCTCGACCGTACTTGCGCGTGTCGGGGACCATGCGGTTGCAGTATGAATGCGCAGCACATTATTTCACGGACGATTTATGTTATTATATCGCGACGCAATTGCAACGCGTTACGGGGCCTGGCAAAATAGAACCAATTCGTGTAATGGTATTAAAATTAGAAAAGTGACTAAAAAAAGGAAAAACAAATATGTTGTTAAAATAAAAATTTAATTAAAAATTCGTACGCACCAGTCCTGCGGAATACGTTTTAGAACAATAATTACCATGTTTACATAATATAATTATTTGTCGTCTGCGCTTACAATGTAAGTACACAGAACACTATGTTTAATGCCCATGTATATTATTTTTAATTGTCGCCCCATGTCACATATATTCATGTCACAAACAGTAAAAATAATTAAACTGAGTATGTTTAAAATAATTTAAACGGACGAGCCAAACAATTAAGTTAATATGCAGAATGTAGATACATTATAATATGTTTTAGCGAAACTTCGAATCGTCAGGTTTTTATTCGCATCGGCGACTTATGTTGCACTCACACTATAGTATACGTGACGCTGAGAAATAAAAATAATACATTCTTTTTTTTACAGTCGATATAGTTAGATGTACTTTTCTAAGCTCAGAAATATAAATAAAATAAATGGAAAAAAACCCTAAAGAGGCAAACTTTTTACGTGCAAATTACACCATTCAGATGGGTGTCTATAAATTGGGTATAAAAAAAATTAATATACAAAGTCATCATGAATGTAATGGCTATGATATCGCATCAGAACAAATCAATACGGCAAAGCGGCAATGGAATCTGTAATTTTTGTTCAAGACGATAAAAAAAAATAAATATCAACGTGAAATAAATAAATGGACGTCCACGTCCAACATCTAATATTATAATATACAGTTATAAATTTGTGAAGTAGTGGAATAGGATATTTTAGAATTCTATTAGTTGCAAACTGACTGTAAACTATATCAAATTTTTCAATTTCCTATAGCATATTATAGTATTATCTGCATGATGAGAAAATTAATAATAAAAACTAAATCTGAATATATTAAACTACAGAATCTTTAAAGATATCAATATTCGAGCATCATGTATCCTATTGAAACCCATCTATACCCAGTTCCTATATCATTAATGCGTTTCGTAATCAGCCACAGAGAAAATTATACAATCACATTAATTATAATTATATTACGATTTGCTTATTATTATAAATGTGTACCCGAGTCCATTTAAAATTCCTGTATTATTTTTAGTACATGAATTAATTTGTTATTAGATAATACTCATACAGAAAAGAAAATATTTTAGTTCAAAATAATTATTCTCAAGGATTTTATAACTAATAATTAAAATAGAATATAAATTATGATTCGAACATATTGTTTTAAAAATATATATATTTGAAAAAACAAAAATCTTATTCTTATTAATCTTATTTGTCCAAAATATTGATGTATGATTTTAATTATAAACCTAAAGAAATAGCACAAAAAATAATATTAAATAATTATAGATTGATACTGACTTTTTATATTGAAACAAAAACTGTTGATTAATATCAAGAAGAGAAAATTAATTTCGATCAATATTATGCCAAAGAATATCTTATGAATAATATCTACAGAATTATTTTGTTTTATAAAAATGTTTAAAGCAAATATAAAGATGAACTTAATGAAAAAATAACAGAATTTTTATTATTAAAATCGAAATCACCTATATTTTATACAAACAACCAAACCGAAACAACTAAATTTCTAACTTTTCACTGTTAAGAAATGTCGCGATTTTAACTAGCATCTTACTCGTATGCATCTGCCTAACTAAATGTCATTATATTTTATTCGCTTATCAAAATAAGATAATTTTTACGTGAAATTATATGACATAAGTACGCACTTTCATATCAAGCTGATACAATTGCGGCCAGTTGGTAAAAAATATCGGCATGTGATGTTATGTATTTGATTAGTCGCTTTTACGGACGAAACGTACCTGCGTTATACACTATTATGCTGTTATATATTTATCGAGAACATGACTGTTTCATTACCATCCTTGTAAATACGAATGATATATAATGTAATCTACATTGATTAATTATGGACATCTGGGCAAGATGATATTCACGCAGAATGTGTTGTACAGTGTTAGGGGAGTAGCGACCCTATTTTTATGGTAACGAATATAATTATAAATTAATTTTTTAAAAACGTAAATCCGGCAATTAAATCTAACGTCATGGAGATTGATTAATGTGTACTGGTCTTCTAATATATACCCACGAATTGTACAATAAAATATGAATTATTATTACTTTATTTCGAAGTATTTGAAGGGTATCGCTTTAACCAAAGTCTTTAAATTTTGTTTTGAAATTTAAGTAGAATCGTTTAGAAACTATTGATAAAACATTGAAAAAAAAATAAAGATTTCAATTTTTGAAAAAGTTTATAGTAAAGTAATTTGTTATATAAAAATAATGTAATATAACCTATGTAGTAATGATAAATTATACAGATTTTGTGGATGTTCCTTCTTCTTATATACTGCACTGATTATTGTTTATTAATCCAACAATAAAAATAAAATATTAAAACTTGAAAGTACACGCAACACTAAATGGACGCGTTTATGTACATAATATTATAATCATATTTTCATCTACACGAACATTACAATATAATCCGATGGTTGGACACACTTCTCACTTAAAATATTTCGAGACGCCACGTACATTTAAGTGCTAGAAGATAAATCTCGAATTTGCTCACGTTATTACCGTTTATATGTGTAACAGACATTTAGAACAAAAATAAATATCCACTCACCAGTTAAGTAAATGATTAAAATACTTACCACAAATTTTTAGAACGAAATAAGAGGCCTGTTCACCGCGAATGAAATGGCGTGACAGATTAAACAAACCGGCTCCAGAATGAGTTTTCTGTTAGTTGAACTGGATTATTGCTCCGAGACATATAATACATGGATATATGTGTGTGTATACTAAGTCTGCCAAGTTGTATTTTGCGGTACGTGACTCAAATGTAAAATTACGGTGAATTCGCCTATTCGGCTTTTCCACGAATGTTTATTCCGATGACTAACAAAAGTACACCAATCCATACTAATAAGGTTTTGGACACGTTTCAAAAACTAAAAAAATTTCAACGCCACGTACAATCATGTGGTACGCGCAATCCTCGTTTCGCAGTGAATCCCCATCGCGTGCGCTCTGCGACGATTTAATTTACAGGAGCAAGCATGTATAAGATAGTTTATCAATTGTTGATTTTCGTCGGGTTTTTCTCCTTTGGAAACAACAACCCTCGCTATTATCGTTTGTTCGCGCAATTATTGTTGTGCGATACGATTCACAGTATAATATACCGCAACGGTATCAGACATCAGGCCGTCTATAATCGTAATATTCGTCACGTTAATTCGTTTGAATTTATTCCGTTCACGGTCTGTAAACAAAACGTACAGTTTAAAATTGTTTGTACAACAAAGTAAGTAGACATTATTAAAAATCTAATAACACGGCAAGGGAGGGGTGGAGGTTTGACTACATATAGGAAGAACGAGAGGAAGATACCAGTAAGATCACGGAAAAATTGAGTTTAAGTTAAAATTAATTATAACGTCATAACTTGAATGAAATCCAAAAAAAGTCTTGGAAAGTACCTAAATTTATTATAATTTTGAGATATTAAATGGAGCATGAAATATGCTATAAACAAATAAATATAAAAAATAAAATAAAATCTTAAACACACAATATGTTAATACTATATATTAATGAAGTTGTGACATAAAAGTTTTTGAAATATTGGATTTATAATAACAGTAATATTAAAATGCATATTTTCTAACCATTAGCCCACATAAATTCGGCATTTACCTATAACTGATTATTAAATCTTAGAAATACTAACCAAGGGTAATTTTCATCAATTTCATATTATGTTATTGATCACTATAACATTAGGTTAATGAAACATGTAATTATGTCAATCTGAAAGGTATTTAATTGTATTCAAATTATTAATCGATTATTTGATGTTTTTTTTGAGATGTACATAACAAAAAAGGTTTTTATTCACTCACACGAAGTATAAGTATATAATAATACTAGTAAAACTTCAATAGAAACTAGTAGGTAATTATGTTGTTGTGACACTAAATGTCACAAAAGCCTCGTGGTAAGTATATCAACTTCATGCAAATCCCGACATTCGAACATAATCCAAACTATCCTTCCGTCATTACAACAAATCCCATTATGCTTACGCATTAGACCAACCATCGACACCCACTAGTTTGTCACCTATCATTACTCATAATCTTTATTCAACATTCTAAAGTAAACAAGACCGGAAAACTTTTCATGAAGAATTTATGATTATAATTTAATTAGGCGTTCTTAAGAATAAAAAAAATAATTTGTACTCCATTCCCTTGACATAATGCATACACGCAAGTAATTTAGTTAACACTACTATAAAAATGTTAACAAACATTGTCAACGTTAAAAAAAAACAATTTACAATTTAGAACGCAGTAAAATTAATTAAACATTTAATTGAAAAAAAATCAATATATTTATTCATCGTCTTGATGAATTTAAATACGAATAATAATAAACATAGAACATTGATGAAATTAAACGATTTACATAGATAAATAAATATTGTTCTAGATATAGGTATAATTAAAGGTGATTATTATTTATACAAACATAATTATTCATAATAAAATCGAATGTGCACAAAACGTTAGTAAACGCTTTGAACTTGTCTTCGACGAAACATTTCTGCACGTTAGACAAACTCGTTTCATAATTAATAACATTTGCTGTACTTGAGTTGCTTAAACTTTGCTCACTTATTTCTACGCTAAACTCTCCTTTGCCTATCACATACAGATTAAGTTAGATACGGTTGCAGAGAAGTTTCGTTCTAAGTAGTATTGTATTGGTAAATAACACAACTAGTGTATATATATATATATGCATTTCGCTATATAATACATTTGAACGTTATCCACACAACTACTCCACTGCCACACGACCACAGCAGCTGACGGACGTCTGAATAATATTATAGTTATATTACTATCGTTTTCAAAATATAAAAATTATTTATTGTACAGGTTTGCAGCTGAAGCTTTTTATCCGTACTTAAAGCGTATTTGCTCGCCAAAAGGAACAATAAAACAAAACAACGTAACATTAAAATGCAATTATAGGACAATAATTGTATATTTTACTAAAAACAATAGCCGTAAGCATTGCCAAAGGCAAATCACATGACACAAAATAAACATTCCGTTTTCGACTTATAAAGTGCAATATTGGTTATAATTGATTTATGATGGAAAATTAAAATTTCCTTAAGTCGAGAGTAGCCCCTCAGACAGTAGATGTTTACGCAAGTATAAGTAAGTAAATTATAATATCAACAAAATTTAAACACGCCACATAAGTATATAAATTACAAAAGTGGCAGTGTTTATAGTGGCCTATAAACAAAAGCTTGTATACGGATGAGTATGTATGCTAAGTTCGATTAAAATAGTCTATTTTTATGGACAATTTTAAATCGGTTTCGCTCTGTACTTTCTGTGAAAAACGTGTATAAATCCTTCATGAAATCAAAGAATTGAACAGTCGATGGATAAGAGTTAGCCGCTGCTTTTCCCACTAAATTGAGAGAATGACCACAACATGGTACAAACGCCAATAAATGATTTTCTCCAAAATAAGAGCCTGCATCCCTTTGTATTCGCCACTCGTATTTGCAGCACTATCATATGATTGGCCATGGCAATCCATGATGTCTATTTGATGACCACCTTAAAATTTGAGTAGAGCGTTTGCTGTAGCTTCTCCAATATAACCACAGTTTGGTAAAAAGGTGAGAAATCTTTCTTTTAGCGTCGATCCTTCCATGTATCGAACTACTATAGTTATTTGATCGATGTCAGATTCGTCGGGAGTAGAGTCTACAGATACTGAATAATATTTGGATTTTTTTATCCTGGATACTATTTCAGTTAATACTTTTCACCCATACAACTGATCAGTTCTTCGCAAATCGTGGACGAATGGTAACTGATATGACCACTCCCTTTGTTTCCATACACTTTTAAGTGGGTGGCCAGGATAGGTTCATACTCGGCTAGAAATTCCAAAATTCCCAGGAAATTTCCATTTCTTGGTCAGCCAATAATTTCATTGTCACCTTGGAAAGGTAATCCGCGTTCAGCAATGAATTTGATAGTAATAACGATAATTCTGAGGATTTTTCGCCGATTTGAAGATATCAATATGATTGGCGTTGAAGAAATACTATCTGAAATTGGAGAATTAACAGATGCAATCAATATGCAGTATAGTGAGTTAAGTGAAGATGAGGAACCTGTCACTCTGCCAATTGGATGGCAAAATTATACCGAACAAAAGGGAACAGAACAACCCATAACGTCATCATCTACTATACCAACGAATTTAATATCTCGAAATGAGATACCACTACCAGTACACGGCCTAAGCAGGATAGAAAAGAAAGCGGCCGCCAAGAAAGCGTGGTACTAGAAAAAAAAAAGACTATAAAGAAAAAATAATAGATATTTTAATCAGCACTTGTAAATATGTATAGTCAGTAGTATGTTTTCTTTGTAAATATTTTGTCATGCTTTCCAAAATAATCTCCAAAGAAAAAGGGGACTATGTAACGAACACTATTAATGGGAACATAGATGGCGTTCATTACTACAATTACGCCACACGGAGTAACAACAGAACCACATCACTCCCAATATATTGCCAACTAGTTAAGGTGAAATTAAAATTAGAATGTATTGAATAAGAAAATGTATGAATTTTGTATACTAGAAAATATATGTTATTACATTATGTAATATATTTTTTTTTTTTTGCTATAATTATTTGAGTAGGTAATTAGTTATTAATTTATTTCTATACCATTAATTATCTTATAATTTATATATTATAGATTTATTATAATAATGTAATTAATACAATATATTTATTTATGATTATTATTTTGTATAAATTAGTGTTGGTTAATTGTCAATATTTTCTCTTGAGTGGTATGGTTTAAGATGTGTAACGTGGATTATATCTTCGGTTACTTTATTATTTATAACAAGCTTGATTTTATAATTTAGGTCATTGATTTTGTTTAAAATTTTGAAAGGACCTCTATATTTTGGACGTAATTTTGAAGATTTTTCCTACTTCTAAAAATGAAAATTTTATAAGAACTAAGTCTCCTCGTTTGAAACTGATCATTTAATATAATTTGTCAAGATATTTTTTTAGTTTTGTTGAGCTTTTGAAACTATATTGGGAATTTTATTACGTATTTTGTTTAGTTCAATTAATACATTTTTTATGCCGTATGGTAAATTATTTTGAATTAATTTGTTGTTAATTAAAAATATGGTTCAAAGCCATGCATTAAATAAAAAAGGCTATATTTTGTGCTGGTTTGTTGGTAGCATTATAACTTAATGTTACGTATGGTAAATAGTATGACCATCTAGACTGATTATTGTCTTCTATATAATTTTTTAGTGAGTTAGAAAGGACACCATTAATTTTTTCGATCAGTCCCTGTGACTGGGACGAGTAGCTTATTGATAAAACTTGTTTTATGCCTAAATTGTCACATATATCTTCTACTAGTTTATTCCTGAAATGAATACCTCTATCAGAAGAAAATGTTTGAAAACATCCCTAATGGGATATTATTTGAATGATAAATTCAATTGTTGATTCAGCGGAAGATGAATTAATTTAATTCTCTAAAAATTTGAAAAATGCCATAAAAGCAGCAACATATGCCATAGAAATGCATTTAAAGTCATAAAATGCAAAATAAAATCTTCTTTAAATTAAACAGTATCACTCGAATCACATTTTCTTCTTACGGACCTATGTGTTGGGACATCAGAAAAAAAGATGTATTTGCATCAAAATCCCAGCCCTGGATGTAACTATTTTACTTTTATCATAGACGATAGATATATATACCGAGGATGTATCGTATAATCGACGAGAAATTGTAATTACTGATGACTTCAGCGAAGTTAAATTGCATCGAATACTTCAATACAGGAAAGGTCCTAGAAATTTAAAAAATCGCTTCGTCAAGTTTACCGTTGAGCAATATTATATACTAGGTATCTATCTACAGTCATGGAAAGTTTCTATGTCGTCTTTGTGATATTTTGGCTACGTGGCACTACGTTTCATGAACGGACAAGATAACAATTTTAATCACGACCATTATAACATTGTCTCACGTTGAACTATAATGTAAGAAAAAGTGCGCTAACTAGAGAAAATACTTCTGTAATCGGTCGCCATTGATGTATTTAAATAGTATATAAACGGATCGTTTTAATGAACCCAATGAAATTGCTGAATTGTCGAAGTTTAATGCGGCCGGTTTTTGAATGTATTGATCGGTTGCAATTATTTATAATAAGTATAGAAAACACAACTTGGACTGGCGATAATTATTTCCGCAAGTTGACTTAATAATCAATTTATCGTTACAAACTTGTATTATTGCGCTAGTTGACTTTTTTTTTAATCCGTTCGAATAGGTACGAAATAAACACTTTTGTACCTACTACGTTTCAAATATGCATGTTGAGTGATTATAGGTATACCTCCTTTCTACGCAGAGCGCTAATTATTCCATTCTATTCTTATCTCCAACATATTGAAGGATGCTGGCAGTATCGATAATACGTCTAATTACACGATAGGGGTTTGTATCAGTGATGGCTATTATTCGAGTATTCGAATATTCAACCATTCGAATATCAATATTCGATGCTACAATACAATACGTAACGAGAATTATCCGTTTAAGTGTTCACGCAACGCAAAACGTTTAATAATAATAGGTATTGTAGCATCGAATACTGATATTCGAATGTTCAAATACTCGATTATTCGAATTATTTACAGTGGACCTATTCGAATTCGAATAATTCTATTATTAGAATATACATTACATCTCTAGTTTGTGTACGTTGTATAAGGTCAATTTACCAATATGGATATCACACGTATGTTCGTTTCTTCGACAATTATAGCGTCAGGTGAGGTTGCCTTCTTCTCGTCAGTATAGTTTGCCAGTCCATACCTTCCGTGTCCAATGTAGTTCACCATCTAGTTAAACCTTTCACGTTCATTTGTACTACCTTAATCTATATTTAATTGGATAAAATACATAGAGGACATAACAGTCCCGTTGGTCGGCAAAGGGTTAATGTTGTTATCTGTGATTGCCTTGCACTTAGTGTTACATAGTTTACATGTCTTGGTATTTTTTTGGTTTTTAAATTCTCTAATATAATTTTTGTTTTTTTTTTTTACTTTTTCGTATCTTATAGAAAACATGATTGTCATATGGGTAGCCCTGAGAAGGGTTGTTTTCACCAATAGGCCGGAAGGTCTTTCAACAATCGGCTGCCTGGTTTGTGCTGTTTAGAAGTTTGCCTTCGTGTTGTTAACATGGTTGAGCAAAAATTGCGAAAAGACACAGTGAACTTCAAACATTAATATTACCAACACTATTAGATAGGGGAGACCACGAGAAGGTATAGCACACATCTCCCATAATGTGATAAAAACATACTAATCGTAGTACGTTGATTTGGTACATTTACCGATGCAGTATTAAATAGTAAAATAGACTGAAATTTTCAGTCGGTAAAACGATGTTATTCATATTTGTTTTCGGTTTCGTTAACGATTTATTGATTCTTCTCATTGTGTTGAGAATTCGGGTTTTAATACGCAAAATAACCCCGCGCATGCTATGCATTACTTCAAAATTATTGTTCATTGAGAATAATGCCCACCGTAGATGTTTAGAGTACGTTCGATGTTGGTGCACTCGTGATGGGTTTTGATTTCGAAAACCATCTAAAAACTAAATGTTTTGTTTTTCAGTTCGCAAAGGAGAAAATATTGCTTGCCCAAATGATAAATAATCCCTAATAATTGGTGCATTGTGTTAAGTACATGAATCCACGATTAAATATGGCAAAACATTATTGTAAATACGAGTGGATTTACTGTTCAAGGGAAAAAAACAAAATATAAAAACAATCAAAACGATCCGATTTGCATTATGTATTACTTATTTATGTATTTCAATTAGTTGTATTGTTGTAATCAATATCAATAAGTATCGTTTAAAAATCGTAAAACACTGCAGGGACGGATTGTAAAATAGTAATCACACAATTCATAACATAAATTAATCTGACATTTAAACGGTGTATAGTAGGAAAATCGATACTCTTCAGAAATAATCATGCCACGAATGATTATAATATTATTATGACATATAAAATGCACGTCATTGACATGATGAGTCATGATAGTGTAGGTAGTTATCAATAATTACTTGATAAAAATGTTATTTTTTAACACTAATTACTGTTGAAAAGTCCATATATTATATGTTTCTTGATCAATAAGTACCAATCCGTCGGAACTAATTTATGTCATGTAAATATACAGTTAACAAAACATAAAAATAAAAATGTGTGGTCGTGGTTACTATTTGATTTGTCTAAGATTTATTGGAGAAACATGTTATAATAATAATAATAATAATAATAATAATATAGTAGTCTTACATGCAATGTTTGAATAATAATAGTAAAAAAAAAAAAAAAACACACACACACATTTAGAATTTAGATAAACAGTTGATCGAGCTCCGCGATAACGGAAATGTTCAGTGATCCGATACTGCTCCGTCGCTATATGACGTGTCTCGACACATTATAATGTTTTTTTATACATTTAGAACGATGCGTATCACGTGCACGATGAGATCTGATTATTATTGTTATAACACGAGTTAGTATATATTTAGTGGGTACGTATCGTAATAGTCGACTCGCGAGTACTTGGAGTGAATGGAGCAGAACCAAAAACATTCAAGTTGTCCAGATTAATATTTATGAATGCCATATAATGGTCACATATGGTGTTTAAATAGGTTACTGTAACCGAAAGCTTGTAACATAGTAATATTGTTAGGCTTTTTATTTATTTGACCGTCAAGATTCGATAAAATTCCTCTTTACGATTTTAGATAATTTATTGATCGCGGTACGTACAACGACGTATGAACAAGATTAAGGATGGGATGAGGTGTTCGGAAACATCACTGAAGCCAGATTCCAGAAGTGGATTTTCGTACGAAACGGATTATGACGTTTCGAAACCGTCTAAGCCCCGTTGAACGTAATACTACCTTCGACGAACACAGCCGAGAAACTCGCATGAGGTAAAAATTCGATATTTGATAAGATATGCGTGCGTCACTGTTGCGTCATCACGATTCGACCATACGAGTAGCGATTTTGATGATTAATAACAATAATAATAACCGTTGGTGGATGGGAAACACGACGGAGCAGCAGCGAACGGGATGATGGAAAAAAAATTAGATAAACTATCAGTGTTGCGCGACACATCATCGCTGAAAAACGATGTGGTATTTAAAATAATATTATATGTACAAAACGTTACAAAATAAATTGTCGTGGCGCGAGACTAAAATAATGACTTGGGGTCTAGCGAACACACTCGTAGGATGATCGTCTCTACCGACGACTATTTTATTTTTTTTTTTTAGTTTTTATTTTTTTTTTGCAATTTATATTATGCGATAGCATTACATCATCTACGGTATAAAATTATTTTCCGGTAATCACAACATCGTCGGCGCAACAACGGCAACAACAGGCCGTTGGTCGGACACCTCATGCCGACGGCGCGCGGAAAACCTGTTGCGACCGCGACGGCGGCGTCGGTCGTTGTTGACGTGGGTCCGATTTGTAGTACAGCTGTTGATTGCCGCGTTGCGGCTTGCGGTCGACGTCGATCAGCTCCACATCGGGCGGCAACACGACTTCCACGCCGGCCGCCTGGTTGGACGCGTCTAGCAGATCGTTGACTAGTGTGTCACCGTACAAGCTGATCGGCCGCTGCTGCTGTTCGTAGTGCACCGGGTGGCCGCCGTACGGGCCGGGTATCGGGTGGCCGCCATACGGGCCGGGTATCGGGTGGCCGTACGGACCGGACATCGGATGTCCGTAACCGACCGGTGGTCGGCCGTAGTACACCAGCTGACCGGTGGGGTGCATCACTGGGCGCGGTCCGTAGTACGCGGGGGCGTACGGTGAGTAGTAACTGGCCGCGGCCGTCTGGTAGTGATCGTCCAGTGGAACGGGTCCGGCCTGCGAAAAACACAACGCTCTACGGTTAGGTGTGCCGGTGTTGATCGTCGCGGTCACGGTACGCGTGCACAGGGTCCAGTGGCGTGTGCATAGTTCACCGTATGGTGTACTTGTAATACTTTGTGAACACGGTATACGTGGTAAAGGGTGCGACTGTCAGTGGCGTGCCCCGTTATCCCGCACGCATTTCGATGCCAGGACATATTGTTAGGGACGGGCGTTCGAAAACGTGTCGTCGGCAAGCCCAGTGGTGTATTTGGGATAATTGTTCATGGGTGGGGGGATCATTATCTGTACAATTGATTTTGACATGTTTATATGTCAAAACGTTCACTATTCTAAAAACATAAAATATTTTTTATCAGTACGAAACTCAAATAACAAAATCAACCATACAGTATGATAACGTTAGATAAAAGATTCATCTTTATTGCCTATGATTGTAATACAAAATATTTTGCTAATGTTTGAAACGGTTTCTATTGCGATTAAAAAGTTGAATACCCAGAGGTGAACGTAGGAAAAAATTTCATGTATAGGGTTTTGAAAAAAAATTTAAATATTGATAAATAACCCACTTTATTACTCATTATATAATATATATACATATTTAGGTATTTTATTAGCAAGTCTCATGAGAAACTTTGAAATAACTATTAAATTTGTAGGTCAGGTCATTTTTTATAACAGTTTTATTTTTTTTTTTTTGGTATTTCGAAGAGGGTTTGGACCTCTAAACCCACCCTCCCTGGATACGTGCATGTAGGTACCGCATTTGGGGAAACACATGATGGGTGATTAGTTTTAATAATTCAATTTAACTTATGATCACAGCTTCCGAAAATACGTAAAAAAAAAAGCTTTGGGAAAGGGGGAGGGGCAATAGTTGCTTTACCCCTCGAACACGCCACTGGGCGAGTCGTTGTCTGAAATTGTGACTCGTTCGAACGAATTCCGACAGACTTTTATACCGTTTTTATCCCGTTTTTTACTCTTATGTCCGAGAGCGGTTTAGGTGACATTAAAAAGTGAGACCACGGACACTGCGCACGCGAACACATCGCACACTCGCGGCGGTACCGTTACCATGGATAGTGATCGAAACGAGGACGGAGGGGGTGGTTGCCGGCAAAGCGAATATGCAAGCCACGTACGTAGTGCCAAACACGATTGTAGTAGGAAAAGAACAAATCGGATACGTACCGGTTAGCTGTGGCAGTAGCAAAGATTTAACAACGTATGCGTTGTTTATTTACAATTTTTTCGCGCAAAAAAACTTCGCGACGTGCTCACGCGATCAGGTGAAGACGCTCGCGGCACCAACGTTAGTACTGACTTACTAGGCGATGGCGCGCGGTTTTTATCCATCACCGCTGTTCTCCCGAGCCAGGGACGGATAGGCGTGCTTCGACCGGCCCGGGGAAAATGTAATCTAGCGGCTCAAGTTTAAATTTTAAACATCGCACCAAAAAATTACCTTAACCAAGGTATCACCAAACACCTCCCCCTCACCACTCACTTGATCATCACGCTTTTATCATAACTGTTCGTACTCGTAAAACTTATAGTACCTAACCAATTTTCGATCAATTACACTTTTATGAATAAATAAAAATAGACGAATGTAATTTATAAAATTAATAAAATTTATAAAGCTTTTAATGAATATAATATGAAAAATAATCAGTAACGCGTAGTATACGATATAGATTATATATTCTTCATTCAAATTAGTGTACATCGTTATTCTCGTTTAGATAACTCAAACTTTTGTTTTAAAACGTTAAACTGGTTATGAAGTCGATAGATTATTCTTTGGGTGAAGCTTGAGTTATATCAAGATCAGTTATGTAGCGATCCACCAGGAAAGTCCCGGTATTCCGATGGGCCTATTCGCCCTTGACCCGAGCGAACGATAACACTCTGTGTTATTGCACCATACCCACTTACGACCGTTCCGATGCGACTTCCCGCACCGGTACACTGCATAGCAGCGTTATGAGCACCGACACTCGGCACTATGTGGTCAAGCAGCGCTGCGGGCTGAGGTGAAAACCTCAGTACGCGCGTCCCGCGATTATGAACAAGCCGGACGGATGTTACGACGATGGTTTAGATCGGTTATTAGAAAAACGTGCGGGGCCAAAATGGTTCGGAATCTGATTGCGATTATTTCCGATCCATTTTCGTAAAAAAAAGCATAAACCAATACACCTGTCGTGGTCTATAACAACATATTTTGTTTAATATATACATCATACACGACGTGTTATTATTATTCGTCGTCGAACGTTTACAGTTTTAAGTAACGGCATTCAGTGCCTTGCCTAAAAGATGACGAGGACAGAGGTTATAAAAGACTCAGTCAGATTGATATATGGTTCACGTAGACATAAGATGGTCATGGTCATTCGGTTCAGACCGCAGAAACGAAAAAGGTTTTACAAACGCAGATTAGCCGATTTTAAACCTATACTTCATATTCGTGCGTAACAATCGGTTTTCGATGATATTGTGCAAATCACTGGACACGAATAATATTTACTATTTTTCACGAATATTATTTTACACGTAGTATGCACTTCCTCGTCACAATTTCCAAGCCCATTACGCGCCGTTGTATTCATAAATAAGTATATGAACGGACGTTGATTTTCGAAACGATTCAAATAAATAATGTATACAGTTGGAGTACAATAAATTATTTGTTATCGTACAACTATTTGAAATGTCGTGAGAAATAAAAACTCGAGCGATACAGGTAAAATCGAATAGAATTTTATTTAAACAAGTCAACATTTATAATTAATACGCACTACTGTAAAAATAATAAAACAACAGACTATATCGTTTAGATAACCCAAAATCTTGATGATACTTGGATATTAAGAGCCTTATAAAATTAATAAATACAAATAAAATTAACAGCACACTATGTTGTGTATGATTTACGTCTTACTTTTATAATCCCACATGTTTATTCTAAATTTAATTTTAATAATTATTTTAATTCTAATATTTGCAAAAATAATATTCTACTTTATCGTTTAAATAGTTTATTGGATGGAATGGGTACAATTATAAATTATTATTACAGAAATAAGTATTTTGATTTAAGTTTTGGTCCTATTTTGATTTATTACTAAACGAGTATTTAAAATCGTATACATTACTATAGGCTATAAAATTCGACAATAGAAATAATTGCGCATAAACATTTAATCACGATAAAAATAATATTTTTTTCATTATTTCTTCTGTACGATTTTTTTGTCGATTAATTAAAACTTCAATGGCATAACTAACTACTAGAAAAATATAAAAAAAATTAAAAATTATTAGTCTTTTTAAAAGTTGAAAATGTTTGATTGTACCACATTTGGTCATTTACGATATGATGCACTCCTTTCTATTTTCAGAAATAATAATTCTATAGTTGATGAAATGGGAAAATAATAAAACCGATTCAATATCAATAAATTTTCAAAAATTAAAAAAATTGTCGTTTCTGTATTCGATTTAACAGAACAATGTCTCATCCACCAATGCTCTATCGTCTAAATACTCATTAGTTAATTTTAAATGAACCAACTATTAAAATTGAGAATACAAATAAATATTGTTGTATTGTTCATTTCATATTTTAAATATCATCAATAATAACTAAGAACATTTTGTCTTTTTTTATTATTGTCATGCTTTTTCTATCCATGCATACTCTATTGATTACAAAATTAACAATACCTAAATTACTATTAAAAAGCGTTCACGCGTCCCATATGTGGTACAATATAATATTTATAATATGCAATAAGGAGTAGTAAAATAAAAGGAGTATTATATTGGTAATATCTGGACGGATTAAATGTACACGCTGCATTTTTTGTTAATGAAGTCTTGGATGATAATTTACATAAGCATTAGATGGTATGTACAAAAATAATCCATCGTGAAAATGAATCAATTGTTTTTATATGGTGTATTATTACGTGTATTACATCTTGTGAATAAAAGCTGCAGCTATCTTATTGTTCTACCTTTCTCATTTCTTTCAATTTTTCATCTCCTCTCTCTGGAAATGAGGTGGTGGCATCGGCTGGATCTTGTCTGATCTCGTTCGTCTCCACTCTTTGCGACTCTGAATCGTCCTTGGTCATTGTCACCAATTTTTCGTTGGCAATTTTCTTGTTAACTGTATCCGGAAGTACCTGGATCTCTTTGAAATGATAGAAAGTCTTGTGGTTCTCGTCACCGTCGCTGTACGTCGTTTCGTTAACTTGGACCACATGGCCGTCAATGATCTAGAACGAGACGCAGTGATAAATTAAAGTAAGAATGAACATAGTAAACGAATGCGTTATTGAAACTGGAATCGTACTCTGTCTTATACGTGTAAAGGGAGGAGGAGGGGAATAAATATATGTGATTATACTCGATGTGCGTGTAAATATATTATTTTAAACTACCGAAACAGAATATTAAAAACTGCTTCACCGTGATTACCTATAAAATGTGTAATGTTTAAATATAAACGTATATACACGTGTAAGTCTTTAAAGGAGAAAAAAAATGTAAATAAATAACTAAACCGATTCGCATAACCGATTCATATGAGTGAGAATAATTACAATGAGTCATTATTATTATATACGTGAATGTACGTTTCTAAACGTTTATAAACGAATATCACGTAAAATACTTGTAATGCAAAAACGTGTTCAGAATGGAACGAAGATTATTAGCAGTAAAAATGTATTCTTTAAACGGCACTTTTTTTTTATACAAAAAAATAACATTTCAAATTATATACTCTTATTTATATACATTTTTTTAAAAACTTATGAAAAGAAATAATACTCTATTCCATACACGATTTATGTAGAACAAGGAGTTTTACATTTTTTATTTTACTGAAAATGAAAAATCATAACTCGACAGCTCAATTATAGTTTATACAAGCTTTAAATTTTCTAATTAAAAAAAAAAAAAAACTATTACAACGTTAAAATTATGAATTGTCAAAAACCTTGAGAGATTTGGAATAATATGTATTTTAACACTAAAACTTTAATTTTAACTGAATCGAATTAATTAGTATTTTTCTATTCATTAAAAACAGATACATAAGTTTACAAAAATTAGGATTGTTATTAAAAAAAGAATAATGTTAATAACGTTTTAGTACCATTTTAAACAAATAATAATTGCTCTCTGATCATATTTACCTCGGTTTTGGACGTAGTCTTGGTTAAGGGCTTTCCTGAACCGTCTTGCTTGTTAACCACGTTGGTCATTTGCGGCATGGTCGGCATTTTCTCCAAACTTTCTAGCATATCTAATTTGAGATAATAAAAAACAAGCACACAAAAACATAATAAAAATTAATAAATCGTATTATAAAAGTAATTTTTCGACAAAAAAGAAGCTACGTGATATCATTACATATTACAAATACTTGGGAAACATTTTTTACCTGTCGGCTCGTGCCGAAAAGCGTTAAGCATGATGTTCATTAGTAATGGAATAGGTGGAATTGATGTAGTGTTATGTTTAACGTTTCTTTTTGGTTTTACTATAATGACGTTGGGAGCTGCGAAATGAAGCGTACATTATAATTACGGTTAGTTTGTTAGGCGATGCAATGCGATTTCGTGTCACACAAATTAGTAACTATTGATTATTATTGTCATAATAATAAATATCTGATATCGTTGCACGAGTACATGCATACGTTCAATGATATTATTGAATCACGGCTGAAACGAATGACCAAGTAAGTCGGCGGAGACGCGTAAAAGTTGTCATCAGATACCAGGCACTCAAAACAGTGATGTCCGAGGATCACGCGCGTTCATCGGGTTAGTCTTGCACCGACCTACCTGGCCAGTCACGTAGCAGGAGATCGAGGGGAGGGGAAACGGTGAAATATTTTTCGAACCGTCCGGGAAAAATTGTTTGAGCACAGTCCCGCAACTACAATAATTTAAACCCGTGTGTAAATAAAATGAATAACCCTCCCCCACGTATGGTAGCTTCAGAGAAACCGTACCTTTAACTAATTGAGACCAAATTTCGATCGTAAAGGTGGCAAAAGAAACTATTACATACAAGACACGATCATCAGTTATCAGTTTAATCTCCATAAATAATTATTATCACAAAATGGTTTTACTATCTTTCTCTCTTAGTCCTTGGACCCAGGAGCGGATTCATGGGAGGTCATCATGGTCAATATTGCACTACATAAATATATCACTCATTTTAATATTCACCCCCTCCTCATTTAGATTAACTCCTGATCGAACATTAGATTATAGGCTAGGGCTCCCTTTGAATCACATATTTGACGCACGCAACACACACGGCTTGTTGCAGCACCGGTTGAGCATATATCACGGGGCACGAACATGTCCGACGAAAGCGCGTGTTCGATCGTAGGACGAATCCCTCTAGTGGCCCATGCACCCGATCTCCGGTCGTGGACTCTTTCGGACGTGATTCGTGCACTAAAAACAAAAGCCGTCGGAGCGCGGCGGCAGTGCGTAACAATTACCACACGTACTTCTGAACTCGTTAGTGTACGCTTCGACCAGCTGATGGAAAGGAGACGGTTGGGCCGGAGCCGGGGCCGACGCGAACGGATAGAACGGATCGACGGAGGCGCCGAACGGCTGCTGCTGGTGCCTGAATGGTGGCTGCAACGACTGGAACGGCTGGAAGAACTCCAAGAAGAACGGGATGCTAGGGTGGGCAGGCCCGAAGCCCACGGCGGTCTGTACGCCGGTCGGGTAGTACGGCGGTCTGGGTTTCTTGCCGTAAGCCGGGCCTGTTCCCGCGGCGCTCGGCAAGTCGGTTCCGGCGGCCGGCGCGGCACTCGGCGAACCGATTCCGGACACCGCAGTGCTTGGCGGGTCCGACGCGACGGGCTCGTCGGGCTGGACACTGACGTTCGGCATCACATCGAACTTACCGGGATCAGTCGGCACCAGTTCCACTTCGGACGAACCCTCGGTCTGCTGATTCTGTTGTTGCTCGACAGGTTTGGCGGGTGGCAGCAAGTCAGTTGGTTCAACCGATGCATCTGCTGATGTATCGGTCTTCGATGGTGCCAACGTGTTAACAACGGCGGCTTCATTTTCTAGAAATAAAACAATAAAATCATTAAATTAAAAAAACACCGGTATTATAAAAATTAACATAATGTATTTTCATCGTTTTTCTATCTCGTTCAAGTTTAATTACAACAGACAAGAGGAGGGTGATTTTCTTTTTTGGATTCTGAGGAAAGCGAATGATCTTGTGGTTTCACAACGATGTTTACTTATTTCAATTTTTATTTTTTTGTAAATACTTTTTCGGGTAGAAATATATTGCTCCAAAGGTTTCATCTATTAACTTTCTAGATTAAAAATCAGCATACAACGGCACTATGGAAAATTTATCTTTCCGAAATCTCAATATTTTTTCTAGGCGTGAGGAAAATCTGCAGAAATCCCGAATAAAAAACGGTACTATCAATAGTATATTCGTACGGTATATTATTACAATAAGATGTTACTATTATTGTATCTAATCAGTGTATTTCAATTTTCAACGCATTGCATTTTATTGTCAGAAAGTACGTGATTCATATTAAATTCATATTTTATGTTATTACTACGATGCGATAAATTGGGCAGAACACGATTGCATACGTGTGTCTTTTTTGACAACACGATTGCGTATCAAATTGTATGCAACGTTGTAATTTTACCGTATTATATCTAATAAATATATAATACATATATTAACAGTACTATAATAGTTCATAAAAAAAATTAATAATAAAATAATAAATAAAATGAAGATAACTAAATAAAATAAAAGTAATTAATAAATAAATAATATCGACAGTTTTTATTTGAATGCAAACTATTGTTAATAAATTATTTAAAAATGCTTAAATTTGGATTCCTTGACATCTATAACCTACTACTTTTACTGATACTCGGAAAATACCGTATATTAAAACGGAAATAACGAAATTCTGTTATATCTGATCTTGATATATCTGATATCATTAACAATAAATATAAGTAATAAAAGCAATAAAACACTAAGTATTTATTAACTTTTTTAAGTTCTCTCTCACAGGCATGTGATATACACCAATATTGGTATGAAAATTGGCATCAACGTTTAAAACTTCGTAAAAAACGCATTCCTGTAGTTGAAAATCATGTAAAATCGTACAGAATTGTGTAACTAAAAAAGGTATCGCCGATAACGAACTTACGCAATCATGTTTTACCCGATAAATTATTATATCCAATTCAAACACATCATTTTACCACACCCGGACCCAGTTTGGACGAAACATTTTATTCACACGAACCCAATTCGTACAAAATATTAATTTAATATTATTTTCGGACCTAACTCGGGGATGCAGCCCATAAAACAACATGTTTCGAATATTTGGTCAAGAAAATTTTAATCAGGTTGATAAAAAAAAATAACCTATCAATAATTAAACTAAAACTGATATCCGCATTTTTTATACTGAAGTATTAATCAAAAACATTCGACTAAAAAGTTTATTTATCATTTCTTTAAAACTTAATATATCCATTAAAATGACCATTATCCAGTCAGAGGATCGAAGGGACGAAGGATCAACTTCCACCACTGTCTCAACAGTTTGTTTTTTTTTAAAGTTCTTAATCACACAAAATAGCGAAATACACCAGCATGTTTTATTGGTTCCATAACGAGTACCTACTACGTGTATTCGAACACATTTCTTTGTGTAGTTATTGCATCGGCGCCGTGAGATTCGGTCGTATTTATTTACTTTTTTAAAGAGGATAACTCCACATCTGCAGTTAAATGATACGCCATATTTGATTATTAATTTTAATCAATATTCAACATAAAATGCTCCAAGAACAATAATGTATATATTTTAATCGAATTAAAAAAAAAAATTAAAATTCATCACGTAAACTTAATTACATTATCTTTCTATTATCTGATAAATAAATTTTATGTAAAAATCCACCGATAGGTAATTATGTATCATTAGTAAATGTGGAACGATGTTTTTTTTTTTATAAATACTACTTAGTGAAGAGATGAAGACAGTGAAATGTCGTATCTACGAATCGACCTCTATTAACTGTTTAAGTAAATACGTTTGACCCAAATACGAGATATACCATATTGTTAAAACCTTTTGACAAACGATGCACGTATTACGTGTGTTTATACACTTGCCGAGAAAAAAGCACCGGCACACCCCAATTTAGATTTGAGTCGCATTCGTGAATCCGTACAACAAATGTACCAATTTTATTTGTAGAACAAACAAACTTTCCAAGATGTTTGAACATGTCCGCGACTGAAACAAAATTTAAACGACTATACAAGAACATAGAACCTGCATCTGTTGTTAACAATATTTTACGCTCTCGTTTCGTTTTCCATAAACCTACTTTTCTTCGAAAATAATGACCCATGCAGACGCTCAACTATAGCAGTTGATATACTCCACGATGTACTTAGTATAAGTTATAAATCGATAGCAAGTGTTCCCATTGTGTATTGGAGGAAAAAAAAATAAAATTACTAAGCATATGTCTCGTATTTTTCAGTTACTTTTGATATGCACCGGTATGACAGCCTCAGGGAGACTACAAAGTATTGTATTCACCGTAAAGTTTTAATTTTTACTTCAGCTAATACATTTAGACAAGCAATGACTATGATGACGTATTGCCGCGGTATTGACACGGATAAACGTTCACATCGAATCGATCGCGCGACAAAGACTTATCGTGCTGAATACCAAACGTGTATATACGTAATATGTGATGTTAATACCATATAATTGTACATCCGGACGACGAGCGAGTACATTGCAACATAGATAAAATACTTATAATACAGGTGCGCGTAAATCCGGCGTCTGATAGCGATGGTAACATTATTATTTGTTATTGGACGTGCGACTGCAGCTCATCAAACTCGTATTTCATTGTAACTACGTCCAAATCGTATTATCATTGATCATAAATACTAGTATTTGTAATCAATGGTATTATTCACGTGATAAACCATTTCAGCCCATAAGCATTCTGATAATTACAGAGCCTATCACATTTTAAGTGCGGTACAAGAATAATATTAACGCAACAAATTTTATTTATTTCAAAAGTGCAATTGTGTGCACAAGTAAGCGCTCGCACTACGTTGGCCCTGTAACGTTACAGAAGAATCTAACCCGTTTCCTCATCAACATGTACAGCGATACAACAACGTAAGTGGGTAATTTTTTATTTTTTTCTTTAATACGTGTGTTTGGAAACAAAATTCAAATGATGATACGTTTCGTCGTCACTAACCTGCAAATATCACTACAGTAAACATGATGAAAATAATGCGAATAACAGTCTAATATATAATAGTTCGTGTATGGGCAGAGACAAGAAAATCGCATATTTGTACACATACATATTTTGCACAAATAATATTAAAAAGTAATTTGTTTGATATTAATAGGTTATTACACGAAGAATACATGATGCGTATTATTATAGATATATAATCTGAACGGAAGGTTAAAGAGATTATGAGATTAATATCATTCAAATGTAAACAATATACGAGTTCGTGTCCAAAGACCAAACATGTATAATTTGATAACCTTCGAATTCTTGATAAATGTTATTATACACAGCATGAAAAAATTCGTATGTACGGTCGCAAAATATTTATTAAATATTGTTCAAAATGAGTTAAAAATTTGGCATAGTAATTTTATCATTTTACACGTATATTGTGCTGTTAAACGGAAAAGGTCATTCGAATTTCTATGATAGCAAAAGTGTATCGACAATATTTAAAGAATATCGTTAGTCCGAATATAAAATAATTACCGTTGTTCACCCTTTCCCTTTTCCTGTGTCTCCACGAGAGTTTTCTCGGTTTTCAGCAATAAAATAATATATCGCGTAAAACGTACACAAGCCCCCCCACACGTTTTTCAATAGAAATTAGAAAAAAAAATTATCTATATAACCGCTGTCATGAGTGTACTTAAAACATTACAATAACTTTGTATCATTTCGTATAGGCACGATTACGAATTTTAGAACCACTCGCGTGTCCGTCGGTCATCGGAACTGTACAACAAATTAGCTTCAATCCTCGTTGACTGCACCCCGTCATAATTTTTATAATCGTGGAAACAACCAATTGCCAACCATATTGCCTTTAAAGAGTGTTAATACGCGACTACAGTAGTTCATGTTCTGTGTACCGAGTCACTTGATGTATACCAGTTAATAAATAATTGCATGTGTTCGCTTGTATGTTGTGATTAAATTAAACAATAAAAATAACATAATGCAAGCCACTCCGAAAAAATTGATTCACACCATTCGGTAGAATTTATGATACGTGTTGTCATTTAATAACGCGACGTGGCGGAACAAAAATTAAAACCGATTTGCTATTGTAATGATAATAATCAACCGGTCTCATATAGTCTCTAAGAAGATATGTAGAAAAATAAATTGGATTCGTGTTGCAATATTTATTAATTTTTTTTAATTTAATGTTTATCCAAATACGAAGTTAATATTATAACCACGCGTAATTAATATGCAATTAAAAAAGCTATACTCGATATCTAACATGATACGTTAGTCGTGGCCATCGTACTCAAGCGCATTATAATAATTAATATGCAGTATATTTTTTTATGATGGCTTAATGTTTTGTAATCATATTTCAGCGATAAAACTCAACGCTTAAGCCGAAAAATAGGGTTCAGTTACTAAAAAAAAGCTGAGGTGTTTATATGATAATAATTTATGACTACCTTTGTTACATTGTTATTTACGGGAAAAAGCCCATGAATATTAAACGATTGGTTTGGAGATGTGTTATATTTGTGTAATAGATTTCTACTTAATAAGTTTGTCTTTTCTCCGACAAAATTAATTAAAAAATCATCATTACGTTAAAAGAGTAAAAACAACATCCTTGTCGTATTTCCTAATACTTTTGAATTATTACCAAAATTTAAAAACAAGAGAAATAACTATTTTATATAAATATAAATAAAATCTATTTTTTTCCAGCAAATAATTTCGT